TCTTCTCCATAGTGTCCAACTCCTCAGATTATTTGCTCGGGAAAGGAAGGGGGATGCTCCCAGTCACTCTATCAGTGAGGGAACTGAGACCCCAAGTTAGGACATGAAGGCCCATAAACCTGTGGCTGATTGTTCTGGATGTAAGTGGGCCCCCACCCCCCAAATATGTGCCAACTTGGCTAGGCTATGATCCCCAGTATTATGCAATTTTCCTCCATGTTTAAAAAATTTGATATAATTGTCCTACGTGTTGCAAATCCTAACCCCTATGATAAACAAAAGGCAGGGTAGAGTCTACATGATTAGGCTGTAGCTTGAATCTTTTTTTATATGAGATTAAATAAATGGGCACACATGGGAAAGGCTGGGGCTCCAGAATCCCCGAGAATCTCCTGGACTCAGAGGTGGACTGATGTCCAAACACAAGGAGATCTTCAACAAATGCCAGGCCCAGGAGCCAGAAGGAGACAAGGAACTTCCTCTGGAATCATGAGCTGATGCAGAGAGAGCCTTCCCCTAGTTCCAGTGCTCTAAATTCAGACTTCGAGCCTCCTGAAGGAGCGCTGGTGGCATAGTGGCTACACGTTGGGCTATGAATCACAAGGTCAGCAGTTCAAAACCACTAGCATCTCTGAGGGAGAAAGACAGGGTTTTCTACTCCCGAAAAGAGTTACAGTCTTGGAAACCCTCAAGGGCAGTTCTTCCCTGTCCTAGAGGATCTCTATGAATCAGCAACTCTGGCCGTGAGTTTGAGCCTCCTACTCTGTAAATACAGTTAGTACTTCAAAAATAACCAGTCAATAGTTGACCAAGAACCGGTAACACTGAAGGAAAAACTCTAAGCCATGTTGAAAGTATTAGCCCAAAACAAGGCTCTAGGATTGGTGGGACACCAAACAAGGCTCTAGGATTGGTGGGACACCAACCGAAATGTTTCAAAACAGACTGATGGGCCCTCGGAGTAGTCACTTGTCGATGACATGAAATTTGGAAGACTGGCCAACTGCCTGGACAAATCAAATTCATTTTGTACCTGTTCCAAAGAAAGGTGACCCCACAGAATGCGCCGACTATAGAACAATATCACTGATACGCATGATACAGAACAGTATCATGACTATATGATATCACTCAGTAATAGTTGCAGCAATACATTAACAGTTCAAGCTTGATTCAGAAGAGGACACAGAACCGGGGCTATCATGACGAACATCAGCTATATCTTGCCTCAAAGCAGGGCGTACCAGAAAGAGACTGACTTAGGTTTTATCTAGTGTGTAAAGGCATTCAACTGTGGGGATTATAGCAAACTGTGCATAGAAGAATGGGGATTCCAGAACACTCCATTGTGCTCATGTGGAACTTATACATGGGCCAAGAGGCAGTCACTACAACAGAGGAATACTGCATGGTTTAAAATCAGGAAAGGTGTGCATTAGGGTTGTATGCTCTCTCCACACTTAGTCAATCTGTGCTGAGCAAACAGTGGGAGAAGTTGGACTATGGGAAGAATGTGGCATCCAGATTGAAGGAAGGCTTATTGACAACCTGCAATATGCAGATGGCACAACTTTGCTTGCTGAAAGTGAGGAAGGCTTGAATCGCTTGCTGATGAAAATCAAGGATGACAGGCTTCAATATAGACTATAACTCAATGTAAAGAAAAAATAAATCCTTACAACTGGACCAACAGGTAACATCATGATACACGAAGATGGAAGAGGTCAAAGATGCCGTCTTGCTTGGATCCACAATCCGTGCTCATGGAAGCAGCGGTCAAGAGTTCAAACAACACACTGCATGAGGTCAATCTGCTGCACGAGACCACTTGTGCACAAACGACTGTGGGAAAGCACGGGTGTTACTCTGGGGCCTCTAGTGCGCCTGACCCAAGCCACATTCTCAATTGCCTTATGTGCACGTGAAATTTGTACAGTGCATATGAAACACCAAAGAAAAGTTGGTGTGTTTGAATTGTGGTAGTGGCCAAGAATATTGAAAGTACCATGGACGGCCAAAAAAATGTGTCTTGAAGAAATTATGACCAGAGTGTTCCTTCGAGGGAAGGATGGTGAGGCTTTGTCTTATATTCTTTGGACGGGTCAAGAGAGACCAGTCCCTGGAGAAGGGTATCATGTTCGGTAAAGTAGAAGGACAGGAAAAAAAAAGAGGAAGGCTCTCAAGGAGATGCATTGGCATCGTGGCTGCCACAATGGGCTCAAGACTAGGAACAATTGTGAGGATGGCACAGGTCCGGGCAGGGTTTCTTGTCTGTTGTGTATAGGTTGCCATGGGTTGGAACCGACTTCATGGCAACAACGGTGTCCCTACTAGCAATGACAGGGATAACGTTAGTATCAGGAGCCTCCACTGTAGAAGCAGCCATGGTGGTAGTGGTCACAGGAGCCAGGAAAACACTATTACTGCTCTGCTGGTCACTGCGCTGCTCGTTGCCATCAAGTGGATTCTGGCTCATGGCGATTGTGCTCCACACAAGTTTGTTTGTAACTTTTCATTGTGATTTGGGTGAAAGTTGACAGATAACTTTTCCACTCAACAGTGCATCCGTGTATTTATGTTTCATTACAATCCCCACCACCTGACATGAATTCTTCCGTGGTTTTCCATTTCCCTTGGCCTTCCTCTCTATCCTTTCTTGACTTCTGAACATTGGGCAAATTACCTTTTGATCTCTGACTGTTCCAAGGTGTGTGTACCTCGCTGGTGTGGCTGTCTACCTCTTTGGCCCGCCTGTTGTTTGGCTAAAAGTTGGACCACCGAGGTGGGTTTCAGGCTTAAAGGTGACTGAAGGTCATGGTCTCAGGGCTTCCCAGCCTAGCCTTTTACGGTTTTGCATTTTGTTTGACATCTATCCTGCTTCATTCAGGAATGTCTAATGGGATCACCTTCAGAGCAGCTGGTAGGGGTAGCCGGGCACCATCTAGTTCTTCTGGTCTCAGGTTGTGGAGGAAGAGGTTCACACTGTGCATTTGTCCTCTGCATGGTGTCCACGAGACCTTGATTTTCTTTTCTTTTGCACTGGATGGGGGGAGAGCAATAGCCACACCTTAGATGGCCACTCACAAGCTTTTGTGACCCCAGTTGCTACTTTCTAAAGTAGGATGTGGTCCATTTCTTTGTGGGCTATATTGTGCCAATTGACTTTACTGTCCCCAAAGAGGGAAGCCCTGGTGGCATAGGGGTTATGCATTGGGCTGCTAACTGCAAGGTCAGCAGCTCGAAATGACCAGCTGATCTGAGGGCGAAAGGCAGGACCACTTCCATAAATACATTATAACCTCAGAACTCATAGGGGCTGTTCTACCCTCTTCTGTAGGTTTGCTATGAGTCAGTATTGCCTCAAGGGCAATGAGATTGTTTTGGGGTCCCCAAAGACTATGGACCAGTGCACTTCTAAGTCCACTGGCACATTCCCTGACAGGATTTGGTTATGACTAAGAAATTTTCATCACTTTGTCCCCAGTATGCTGTTATAGTCAAGGATATAATTGCAACACACACACACACACAGTTGTTAGGTTCCATCGAGTTGATTCTCATCCACAGTGACCATATGTACAACCGAATGAAACACTGTCCGGTCCTGCGCCAGCCTCACAATTGCTCCCATGCCTGAGCCCGTGGTTGAAGCCACTGTGTCAACGCGTCTTGTCGAGGGCTTTCCTCTTTTCAACGGCCCCTCCACTTTACCAAGCATGACGCCCTTCTCCAGGGACTGGTCTCTCCCGGCAACATGTCCAAAGGACAGGAGACGAAGGCTCCCCATCCTTGCCTCTAAGGAGCCCTCTGGTAGCACTTCTTCCAAATAGGTAGCTGGGTAGATAGATAAGGCAGTTTCATTTGCCTTTCCACACCGTTAGCTTGCCAGGCTGTGTACCGGCTCATAGAGGATTGTTACTACAGAATTTGGTCTGTGATTGAATGTACCTCTGAAGCTTTTCATTCTTGTGCTCTTCCCAGTGGCTCCAGACACTACTCAGGAGTAGTATTAGCTAATAGTAATAAGAGTAATAATATTCCTGACAGCACTGAGGCACTGACAGTAGTCACTAAAGTCAGTGGGGTCTGTTGCAGCAGCAAACACTACAACAGTAGTGGAAGCCCCTCAGGGTCAGTAGTGACGTCGTTGTCGTTAGTAGCAATACTAGGAGCTGCAGTGATTTCAGCAGTAGCAGCAGTGGGAATACAGAGTGTGATGGAGTGCACTGCAGCTTCAGCGGGCAGGGCAGGGCAGTGCGAATGTCAGTGTGAATGCGAGCGTATCCGACCAGCGTGCACTGAGCACCTACAGGTGTCGCTAGGAAGCTATGGTCCCGTTTTACCGATGAGACACACGGAGGCCCAGTAACTTATCACAGTCGCGGGCGTCCGGTTCCCGCCAGGTGTGCCGAGCCCACCTGCCCAGGGCGTCCGGCCGGGTGCCCAGCCGCCCGGACCTGCCGCGGCCTCCTGAGCGAGGCTCCAAGTCCACACCGGGCTCCTTCCAGGACCTCACGGGGCAGCAGTTGGGACACGACGTTCTCGCGCGGCCAACGCGACGGCAGTTGGAAGCCCCGCCCCTCGCGCGTGCGCAGTACGCGTCCCGTCGTCCAGCTCGGCTCCAGGCGCCGGGCGCGGTTGGCGGCGTCTGCGAGGG